TTTTCCTCAAGTAAAAACACTTGTCCTTGTATGTAGTATTCTCACATTAAAGTGTGTATTTTCAAACCAGCCTTGTCTTATATTCATGCTTGAGCAGGAATTGTGAAATGATTCTGCTTGTTATAAAACTGAATCTGAATAAAATAGTTATTAGTGCAGTTAGTTCCTTTAGACAGCAGTGGGAGCTTCAGAGTCTGCTTCTCAAGTATTTCCTTCTGTATTAAACTGACTTGGAAACACCAACCTCAAAAAGGTTTTCTTCTATCTGTTTAGAAAGACCTCAGACTATGTAGATTATTCTTAAAATAATCGTCCCGACTTTTTTAGATTTTGTGGGGGCATGGATATTCCTTGTTAATTTACTGATAAGAAAAGTAAACGCTTGTGTTTGACATTTTACTTCCTCATTGTTCGGGGTTCCACACATTTCATATGCAAAAATAATGTAAAATAATTCAATTAAACTTTTTTTTTGTATTCAATATATGTTTCCTATGTGTTTTATTTTCTTCTGAGTTAATAATATCCAATATATTTAGGGGCCAGGAGGCAAAGTGGTTTCTCTTTGCTTTTGCCAAACTATGGGATTGACCATTTGAGGAAGCAGACTTAGTAAAACAATTTAATACAAGCTTTGGTATTGCACCAAAGAATAATATGTTTCAATTTAAATATGTTATAAAGTTATGTATGAGGAAATGCATATATTATTTTTTGCCAAATTGTCATAAACAGACAAGTTATTTTATTTCAAGTTAATGAGATGCCAGAGAGGTTTCATTTTCTGCTATAATCCTCTTGTTGACAAGCTATGTAAAAGTCCAATTAAAGTAATATAAAATTCTGACAAGTGTGTTTGTGAACACCCTTATTCGGGATTTGGGAGAAATGCTGCACACAAAGTCAGATATAAATGATGTAAAAGTAAATTGTACATAGCTGACATCCCGAAAAGATCTAACGTGTAATATTCTGTAATTTAAATAAATAAAAAATATAATAATTGTATTTGAATATATTTTCAGCTGTTACAAAGGACCCTGATTTCCAAGCCCCCAAACAGAGCAATAGACTCAAAGGAGATCATCTGTTTTACCCCCAACAATATGTGTTCCTAAACCAGCAATTACAGGGCATTACTGTATGTTTCCATATAATGTCTATGATTTCATCAGCTACGATCAGGACATCAAAAATAAATAAATATTCTACTCATTCAAGAAGCGTCCTGAAATGCATTTAACATAGTGATAAATAAGAGCTGGGCTATGTTATTGTTTCTATCTCAGAAGCATTAACGCCAGACAATCTACCAGACAACTAAGAGGGCAGATCACTCGTCTCACCTGCAAAACTCTGGATTACCTCAAACACCCCCCTACCCCCACCCACCTGCCCCCTATCTAATTCAAGCGTTCCTCCCTCTGAACTCCAGCAGGGGTCCATCGACATATTGCATTATGTACTATTAAACAAACTTGGACTTCTTAAAGCAGAGTCAGACTTCAGAGGCTGTGGCATGTTTATAGGCATGGTCTGTACAGTACACAGAGATTTCTCATTTCTCTTGGTGACCTTGGGCACAGTGACATGAACGGTTTTGAGGCTTTGATTTGCCACGTTGAGGGGTTGCGGAAAAGGTGCAATGCAAGATAATTTGGGCATTTTTTTCCCTCCTGGGAGCATAGAAAAGTAAGAAATACAGCACTTCATACTCTGGAGATTACAGGTAATATGGCACACAGCCTTCATAAACATTCTTGACCCAACCTGATGATGGAGATATTGCTCCAGGTGAGACTTTTCACACTTTGATTTGCCTAAAATGAAATGGGGAAGTCAGTGATCAAGACCCTTTGAGGTTCCTCGAGAAGCCAGCACTGGCTGAATATCTCCCAGCGCTGCACACAGCACACATGCTTTAACAACCAGGTTAGCAAGAGGCATACTCCTGCAAATAAACAGAGAAAATATCCTCAAAGAGATGATATTGATGTATTATTCATGTCAGAAAAAAAATCTAAAATGATCCATCTCAAGCTATTGAAGCCAGGTGATAATCCACATGCTTGTGGGGCAGCCCTGGGCGAATTAGGGATGAGGAAGCCATTGTACTTCCCTCTAAGGTCAACATGGTTGAACCGGTGATACATATGTATGTTAATTTGCCTAATCTCACTTCTACAAATGTCTTACAGGCACATAAAGGGTTTAACACTAAGACATAATGATATCAGGGCATCATACGGGGGGCTTATGAAAACATGGGGCAGCCATAGCTTTAAATCTTCTATAGAAACCTTTAAACCGGCTGTCAAATAGCAAGACAAGTGCGGTAAGGATTTCAAATTTTATTTTCTTAATACAAAATTAAAAAATTAATTCCCCAGTTAAAGTTAATCTACAGTCAATATATATAAAAACACGCGTAGTACCAGAGTTTAAATCACTGATTTAAATAAAAAAGACTTTGCATCATCTAGCCATATTGTGTTTATATATATATATTCTCATATGTATGCATATTGTGTTTATATGCATATTGTGTTTATATAATACACTGGTTTTTATTGAACCTATAGGTTCAATAAAAACCACTGACAGTGTCATCACTTCAGAACTGGATTTCCTGTTGGCTCTGAATTAGACAGAAATCAATAAATATGCAACTAAATTCATACGAAGACTGCTTCTGTAGATCGACTATTCTTTTTAAACACTCTCACTTTATATGTGTTTAACACTCTCCTAATGCCAAGAAGAAATTAAGTTATATTTGATACTTGACTAATACTTAATGGCTAGTTTATTTAAATGTGTTAAATTAAACAACATTTTTATTTAATGTTTTCCTGCCCGCTTGAGTTTATCCTGTGTTTTGACAAGAGTTCAAATTGTATAGCAGCTTTTACATCAGGTCAGATGTTTATCACAATGTATCTATCATCTATAACCACATAATATTTAGCAACTAATTGTGTGGATTGAAAGAAATTAAGGTTATCAGGCCATATGTAAATTAGTTATTGTAAAAGTTATTCCTTGACAACAATTTAAAAAAAACACAAGCTATTTAAGCCTGTTTAAGGTGAAAAAACAAAAGTAAAGGGAGGCTGAAACCCTGAGAAATCTACATAATTTTGGTTGAATATAAATATTTGTATCTTAACTGAAATCCTGTGGGAAACAGGTTGTGTTGACCCTGATTTATTGAGGAATTTAAATTCAGGAGTGAAAAACATTTTAAAAGAAAAAGTTTTCTCCTACTTATTTCCATAGTTGCATCTCCACCTTTCCCATTCAGTTCCCATCTTAGAAAAAAACAAAACATAGGCTATCCATTCAAAAGGCATTTAGTCCATTTCTTTCTTGCCCGGTAAACCTATTCATCAATTGTTCTGTCTTGTAGATTGCATTCTAATGCTAATCTAGCGTGTTAAATATCTTTTTGTTCCCCTTTCACCGTTTTGTCATTCAGTTTATCCAGTTTTGGCCACCCATTTTATTTATTTATGCGCCTGCTTCTATTCATGCGCTCATGTATTTTTTATTATGTTGTTTCACTGTCATGCAGTGTCAACTCACTCTATTCAATGTGGGCTACTTGAAGGGCTTGCAGGGACAAAGCGTGTACACATTGCAGTGCTATTCACTCCGGCCAGCTGGATCGGCTGAAAAAACCTTGTGAAAAGAAATCCTCCACAACGGACACAGAAGAAGTGCACAATGCTAACAGTTTTCCAAATACCACTGATTGCTTTCATCACAATGAGGGAAAGCAGCCGCTTTTGCTGAGCTCCACTTCAACAAACAACACTCTCACAAAACCTCCCAACCCACGTTTTGTTCCCAGACAAAACCTCCTCGACCGTCTAAACGCTCCCAGAGTAGAAAAAAAGTTCTTTCAGCTTTCTTCCCCTTTTCCTCCAGAAGAAAAAAATATAATAAAAAGGCAAAAGAAAGAGAAAGAAATGGCCACTGACTGAACTCGTAATGCAAGTTTCTTACAGACAGGACGACCTTGTCTGTTTTTTGATCAGAAAGCTGTTTTACCATTATACCTATAATTATTTAAAAGTTAGCCTTGATACACGTTGATACTCAAATGTATTTAATTTTGTGGCATAAAGCAAAAATAACATTGCACAATTTCAGTATTCATAAAAAAAATATATAGGCATGGCCTCAAAGGCACTTAATAACTTAGAGAAAATAATCTATATTTTCTTTTGAAAAACTCTGAACCGATATTTTCCAGACTGTAAATGAAACACAAGGTCACTTGCGCGTTCTTTTCGGGGCCAAGAAGGAAGTTCCGTGGAGAGAAGTGATCGGGGTGTTACAATGGAGAACAGAGTTCTGAAAGGGTTTAATTAACCGTGACGGAGATAATTATCCCTGGACTGTCCAAATTAGTTTTGCATAATCGCTCTGATCCTTATGAATTAATCTCTCAGTGTAACATAGGAGGGGCAGTTTGCTTAAACAACAATACAAGTTATAGATCTAATATGAAATGCAGTGCACCAACACCTTCTACATGTACGCGCACGCGAGATCGTGCACTCTTTAGAACAGGTGATCAGCATGTTTTTGTTTCTGTCCACGAGCCTTTAATTAATATTAAATGAACTTTGTTTTTCTTTTCAGACTTGGGTGCGCACAGACACTCGGCTCAGGTTTTTTTTAAAGCCTCAAAGAAGAGCTTGTTCTGCAGCTTAAAAGCAGCTCTTTTTTCTTTTTCGACCTTGCATGGGAAAAGAAAGCTCAGAGTACTACACAGTTTTATCTTCCCTCCTATTCACGATTAAAATTGTGATAAATAAGGTTTTGGCTTTTGATTACAATGGGCTGATTTAGATTTCCCCCCAGTATTGCCATTCAAAGCGCGGACAAAAGCGGCCTGTTGAGGATACCTTACACTTCACCTGGACTGAGGAGCAGGAAAAGAAAAGATAACCATCTTGTTCATCTCATCAAGAACTACAGCTGCGATTCCCTTCCGTTTAATCCGAATAGGCTTTATTGTAGTCCTTCGCTCAACAAGTGAACAGTATTGAAGTACATAACGGAGGTTAAAGAAAACACAAAACATACAAATTCCATAAGAGTTAGTTAAAAAGTATTTTTTCTGCTGCACATGATACGAGGAGTGGGTGGGTGATGATCAAGAAATGATGAACTCCTTGAACAAACTTCCCCTTGCATTTAAATTGTAACTTTTTTACAGTTTGAAGTGAAAAAAAGGTTTAATAAATCAAACCCACTGAAATTGAATATCCCATTGAAAATAAATTACATCCTCAACGTTTCATGTGCAAATATTACAGAACTAGTCGTGTCCTTTTTAAAATTGTCTGGGTCACCATCCACTAAACAATAAATATTACAGACATCTATAAAACGGTTTAAAAACTCAAAATATACACAGCACTTCTAGTGAAATGCGTAGGTTCCTGGCCCTATCTCAAACACTAAGCCTATAACGGCAAATAAACTAGAGTCATTTTTATCTGTACACATTTACAGTCATACAGAACAGGAGAAATGTTGTGAGAAATCCTCCCTGATCCATTAATTACAACCCATTAGCCCCGATGTATCTGAGAGAAAATCCTGTGATTATGGTCAGTGTGTATGCTGCCTTTGATTCCAACAGGTTAGGCAAAGCAGGTGCAACTTGCAAAAAATAGAAATCAAATGGTGTACCTTTCAAAATGGGTTTTTCACAAAATGCTCTGATACCCTTTCCTCAAATGTTTGCCATCCTTTAGTCCTTCCCCTGTGGGCTGTGAGAGGTGATGGCTGCTGGGTAATAATAGATTAGAGAGTTCTCTAAATAAGCAGTACCTTAGATAAAGGCATTAATCAATATACATACACATGTGATATCTGAGACGACGAGCACTTCATCACATGAACAAGGTTTGTGCATGCATAATAAAACTCTTGCATGAATAGCTTTTTTTTTAGTTTGTTTTTGTTTTCACATTTCATTTTCTCAGAAGTCCAACGCGGGCCTTATCATAATGCTGCAGCATATGCAGGGTACGGTTCAAGTTGAGGTTTTCCCATCCCGGGGAGTAAGATGTATGCTAAGGGCGGCTGCAGTCCTGCTGTGGGCCAGCCCGTACAGTTACAAGGGATCATGTAGCCTGGGTTTCCCGGGGACGGGTGTGAGTGAGTGTGGGCGTGCGTCCCACCAATGCCAGTCCCGAAAGCCGCGCTTCCCGGCGGGTAGCCCAACGGAGACCCGTACGGAAACGAATGCGGAGAAAGCTCAGTCATCTTGGATCCCAGGTCAAAAAAGGAATAGGGGTTTGACATGGAGGGGTTGAAGAAGACCCTCGCCGCTGCGGCCGCCGCTGCCGCTGCTGCCTTGTCCGGGTGTCCCATGAGGGACTCATGAAGTCCAACGGAAAGCCCGTTAACTTTCAGCGCGTCGTGCTCCCCGAGGTTGTAGGGCACAGGGAAAGAAAACTTATCTTTTTTCATCAGAGTCTTGGGCTTCCGTCTCGGTCTGTATTTATAGTCTGGGTGTTCCTTCATGTGCATCGCTCGCAGTCGTTTGGCTTCGTCGATGAATGGCCTCTTCTCAGACTCGCTGAGAAGTTTCCACTCCGCTCCTAATCTCTTGCTGATCTCGGAGTTGTGCATTTTCGGGTTTTCCTGAGCCATTTTTCTGCGCTGGGCTCTGGACCAGACCATGAAAGCATTCATCGGGCGTTTGACGTGATCCATTGGTTTAGACATGTTGGCACAAACTCTATCTGTAAGAATAACATTTGGAAAATAATTTTAAGTATACACAACTTGCCAAATCTGAACAAAACCACACACAAAACTCATTTAGAAAGTTGTGAAATACAGTTGTGTTAATTTAAACTATACAACAAGTGAAACTCCTGTTTTGGCTACTTACTTAGACTTCAGTTCTTCATCCCTCCGATGAATATCGTCAGTAAAGTACAAGTGGCAGCGTCCTTACGAAAGCTCAACTTATGTTTTCTGCTCCATGGTGGAATCCACCGGTGATACGCCTTTAGCAAAGAAGAGAAGAAGAAAAAAAAGCTGTCTTGTTTTCCTCCCGTCGCCAGAGACTTCCGACCACCACTCAGCAGCTGCGTTTACGCGAATGGATGAGAACTCCCGCTTGCCCCATGTGAAATACAGGATTGTGTGGCAGGTAGTGAAAGTACCACTGGCGCATGCGCAGTTGGCACGGAGTACGCAGGCGACTTGCTGAATGATTTTTGAAAAATCCCACCCTGTTTGAACGGGAAACGCTTCTTGTGGTATTATATATCTTCATTTATTAATCTCATTAGCTTCATATTCTCAATTCATTTAGCTAATGAGAAACTTGTCTCATTGGAATCGTTCAGTTTAATCACAGTAATTAAACATTTTTAAAGAGACAGGTGCACCTGACATACCTGAGGGTGGCAGCACGTATAAGCATCTCACTGATACACTGACAGTGAACGCAGCAGACAGGTTCTGGAAGTTCAACTTACATTGAATCTGAGCCATCAAACACTTAATTGAACTCTCCTTTATTTACAACATTTATTATTACACGCCTGTTTCATTTGTTTACTTGACAATCTGGTGTCACTCCACTTTCTCACCTTTCATCCACTGTCCCTCTGCCTGTCTCTTCCCTCACCCATCCGCGGCACAAAGTAGGCTAGTGTGTAAGAGGTAAAGAATGTCTTCTTTAATTTTCTGATATTGTGGCATTTGTCGTAAATACTCAAATGCTGAGGAGGTCTGAAGTGTTTCTAATCGCGCTTGGTGAAATTAATTACTTTCCTGAAATCCCCCTTTTCACTTTCACTTCAAAGGACTTTCCCAAGGGCAGCGAATCGACAACTGAAATTAGGTTGTCGAATATTCAACTAAGCAATTACAGTTATCTGCGGGACTTGTTGAGTAAATTGTAGGTTTAAGTGGTTTGTTCTCGCACCTTCCCCGTTGTACACAATTATATATGTACAAAAAAGGAAATAGAGAAGGGCTGTATCGAACAATATTATAAATCAGGAATTAGGCTTTAGGTCGAGCGTTTAAATTAGGATATAAATGGATGTCAAATTAAATTTACTGTAGACTTACTGTTGTTCTTATTTAACGGATTAGCATAATCTAAGGACAGTTTATACAACACACAATGTTGAATTGTTATTATTATAATTATGATTATAATAAAATACAAATATTGTAAACATAATGTATATTTTAACAAGCATATTATTGGAAGTGTGGAAGTTGAGTGATGACGCTGACCTATCCAAAAGTGGTGCGCAATTTCTAAGACACAGCGCCCTAAATCGCTGCAGTTTGCGTTTGTTTTACATTTTCTGTTAACAAGGATTTGGGTTGTTTTATTGCACTGCAGAAAAAGCTCACTGAGGGATCGCTCTTTTGTCTCAAGTAGGAAACCTGACAAGGTGAGGATGATCCGCGCCAAGAGGACGAGATGAGAGACAAACCTGCAGCTAAACTAAACTGAGCCACAGCATCTCTCAACACCGTGCGCCCCTTTTGTCGGCTTGTCATTCACCTCGATAACATTACTGCAATGAAGCGCTCCACTCACTCCGCACGAGCACAAGCCTCTCGTGACACAAACGGGCAAAAATTGCTATGAATTATATGAATAAGTTACGGTGGAAAGTTCTTATCGGGAGCTGACAATAAAGGTGTGGAATCCAGTGTGTGCACATTCTCACTAAAGAGTTCATACTTTTTTACTCCTCTCTGCAGTTTTATTTTTATTTTATTGTTCGACCATGTAGAAAAATACATCACTATGGCACTATTTTTTTTAATAACGTGTTATGATTTCATCCGATGCAGGGCCTATTTTGAGCCTGCATAACAGGAGCAGGTGCAGCCATGCAGCACGTTTTCTACTCATCAAAATGTCAAGATTCGTTGTATTTATTCTACAAAACAGCTTGTTATTTTGCAGGCTGAGAAAAAACAATAATTTATTCAGTTAAGTAATTTAATGAAGATCTGATTTTAAAAAAAAGAAGAAGAAAAATGACAGCAAGAGTCTGTGTTTCCCCCCCTCTTTTACCTCAGCCTGGGTCCTGGAAATAACACTTAAATAATTCAAGATGAGTTAGTGAGAGTCGCAGAATTACCTGCCGATAAAGACCGGGTCCAGCCTCTGAGACGGAGCCAGCACTCCCACCTCACAGCACACTGATGATAAGACTGAATAGAAAAATATCATGCAAATAGAAGGCAGACAGCAGCAACAACAAGCCCATGGGGACATATTCCTACCCGGAGAGATCGCACACAGTTCACTCTAAAGTGCTAAAGCCATCACTCTGAAATAGGAGCCCCTGGAGGTGCAACAATCTTCATGATAGCACCAAACAGTTTATTCTGCTCAACACTCCACTAACTCTGGGAGAAAGCACAAGAAATTATAGAGAGAGTTGATGAGGATCCCTGTTGATGAGGATCCCTGGATAATCCGGGCTGCATAAAGAGACCTCATCTACAAAGATTAGTGTACTCTACTTCATTTTTCTTTTTCAAAGTGTTTACTGTTATTCTCCCAAAGTGGTACTGTTGGAGGTGGTGGGAGGGGACTCAAGTCTTAAATTAAATGGATTTCAAGGGAACACAAGTTGACCTCCTGCTATCAGATGGCTTTTCTTTGAAAATAAAGTGAGCCGGATAAACAACAATATCTTCTGTGTGCCACTTCAAACCCCAAAGAGTGGGGAGTATTTACAATCACATGAAAGTTTGCTCATTATCTGGGAGGTTTGAAGAAAGGGAGAGGGAGGGGTCCTGATTGTGTACCTGATGTGGTTTCTTTCTGCTTGTCTGATCACAGCTCTGCCCGGATCTTCCCCTTCCTTTTCAGATATATTGCTGCTCCAATGCAGGCCGGGGCCAAAGCAGAAGCAATGAATACACCTCTCAGTAAAAAAGGTATCTCATTTTCATCTGAGGATTTCCAATAATCCTTTTAGAATTGAGCCGATTGCTCTATTTTGATTTTCAGATTAAGGATTAATGCTGCAGATAAATACACAAATCTGGATCTGAATACTTGATTAATTTAGCTTAAAAAAAAATGTGTAAACCATGCCTGGTATTCTGAGGCTTTGAGGAGTAAGAAATATAATATTGTTCGCTACATAATCACTGTTTATTTTCAGTTAATTATTTTCTTTATGATGTAGCCTATTTGATTTATCATTGGTTAATCTAAATTGCGGAAGCTTAAGACAAATGTATTCATATCAAAGACCTTTTTGGTATGAGGAAACAACATCTAAAAAGGGTGAATGCATTTTAAAGCAAAGCAAACATTCTACACACAGAGATAAAAGTGTTTCCTGCATGATGTAGAGAGCATTCAAAGTCACTTTGTCACTATCATACGCCATTAGCTGCAGAATCTTATCTTAAGTGAGCCTTTGATAAAGTGCTAATGACAAACAGTTTAGCGTTGTAAGGGATCCAATTGATTACTATTTAAAGATGATTGCATTTAGATTAGAAGTCATTTTGTCTAATGAGGTATCTTTACAGCTTCCACAATATGTAGAAAATATGCTTAAGTGCAAGGCAATATAATGATCGGATTGGTAAAGAGACAATGCCGACTCCAGCATCACCTCAAATGAGTCACACAGGATGTCTGAATAAATACATAATTAATGTGAATAAAGTTAATGTTTTTTTTGTGGCTTAAATATGTGACCTATTTTGAACGTTGTGTTCTCAAAATATATTCAATAAGTGCCAAATTAGTTGTGCAGTTTGTTAATCATTCTAATTATACAGTCTTTATTGCTCCTCAGGGCAGACTTTCGTGTCTTTGTCTCAGTGGGAATTATTTTGGTGAAGAACCAAAATATTTACTCAACCACAACCTAAATATTACGCATATCAAGAGGAATTGAGAAATAATCCTCTCATAGAGCACAGTATTAAGTTAATCACATTAGTGGAAATACTATTGATAGTGGTCATGATCCCAGTGAGGGAATCTGTAATTCACAATAAAACAGCCACACTGCACTGTGAATTAAAGACGAACAGGCAAATGGCCCTGAGGATGTGTGTGTGTGTGTGTGTGTGTGTGTGTGTGTGTGTGTGTGTGTGTGTGTGTGTGTGTGTGTGTGTGTGTGTGTGTGTGTAGGTGTAGGTGTGTGTATGCTTGAATGATGGTAAATAGGAAAGAAAGAGGAGTGATTGTCAGTTCAATCTTCGAGGACCTGAACTGACAGATACAACAAACTTTGAAAGCACATTATGGAGGGAGAATGGCTGCACAGAAGGATGTGGAGTCCGCAAGGTTGATAAGACCTTCATCTTTAAACCGCCGCTTGTCAAAGTATTATATGTAATCTCACACTGCAGAATATCTCCGCACCCTGAGGGGCAAACAAAACAGCAGCGGCAATCAAACGACTTCCTCGATCATTAAAAAAAAACGGCCTACCCTACCCTTTGTGAATAGTATGATTTTTGAACTCTGATTAATGCTACCCCCCGCAGGGCGTATGTTTGGTTTAAACCTTCCTAATATTCTCCGTCGCAGAACCCTGTGGTTCAAATCCAAACATACTTCTTTTCCTCCGGGCACCGAGATGACTTTTCTCATGATAGACTATTTTGAACCATTTAGTGGATACATTATCGCTCGGCCTTTCTTCCTCATTATACTCCCCTTATCGCCACGGCATCTCTGCAAAGCCCCAAATAGAGAGTTGTAATTACCCAGACTGCCACCTGATAGCAGCCCTTCTATCAGCTTTATCACTCCAGGTCCTGCTAACTCATCATAGGGACAGAGGGAAGAAAAGGCCTGCTTGTGGCACAGCCGCCACAGATAGCTCATCTCTCCGATACATTTATAGTTCCAGTTGGGATCAGAGAAAACTGATGCACCAAGGCAATTTTTTATCCACCCTTTCCCTTCAACACCACAAAGACTGCTCTCTCTCAGTCCTCTCCTAGTCTCTCGCTCTTTATGTGGAAGCTGAATTGAGGCCGCTTCACAAACAAAAAGTGATCCAATCTCCTTGAACCCGTGGCAGCGCAGCAACACGCTATTTGGTCTTTCATAGTGTGCCATCGTCCTTCAGAGCAGAACAAAA